CATCTATGAAAACCCACAGCTAATATCACCCTAAATGGTGAACATAGTTGCTTTTCCTCTAAGATCAGGAACAAGACAAGGATGTCTACTCTTGCCATTTCTATTAAACATTGTATCAGAGGTTCTAAGCCAGGGTAGTTAGGCAAGAAAAGAACATGCATCCAGATTGGAAGAAGCAGACCATCTCTGTTTTCATATGGCATAATAATCTTATATATAGAAAACTCTAAAGAATCCACTAAAAACTTAGACTAATAAATGAGCTTAGCAAGGTTGCAGGATACAAGATCAATATCCAAGAATCAATTATACATCTATATATTTGTAGTGAATAATTCAAAATGAAGTTAAAACAGTCACACTCACAATAGCATAAAAAGAATAAAATACTTAGGAATAAATTTAACAAAAAGTGAAAATTTATATGCTGAAAACTACAACATTGTTGAAAGAAATTAAATATCTAAGTAAATGGAAGAAGACATTCCATATTCATGAGTGGGAGACTTAATATTATTAAGATGGCAATGCTCCCCAAACTTATCTACAGAGTCAACACCATCCCTATCAGAATCCACCTGACTTCTTTGTACAAATTAACAAGCTGATTTTACAATTCATATGAAATTGCAAGGGACACAGAATAGCTAAAAATGATCCTGAAAAGAAGAATAAAGTAGGAGGACTCACTTCTCAGTTTCACAACTTACTGATCAGCAACATAATCAAGACAGGTGGCACTTGAACAAGAATAGGCATATTGCTGGGCATGGTGGCATGTCCCTGTAGTCCCAGCTACTCAGAAGATGAGACAAGAGGAACACTTGAGCCCAGGAGTTGGAGACCAGTCTGGGCAACATAGGGAGACCCCTTCTCTAATGAAAAAAAAAAAAAAAAGAATAGGCATCTAGATAAATGTAAGAGAATTTAGAGTTCAGATATAAATATAGGCATCAATAATCAATTGCTTTTCAACAAGGATGCCAAGACTATCCAAAGGGGAAAGAATAGTCTTTTTAACAAATGGTGCAGAGACACCTGCATAGTCACTTGCAAAAGAATTGAGTTGGATCCTTATCTCACATCATGAACAAAAATAAACTCAAAATAGATCAAAGACCTAAATGTAAGAACAAAAACTATAAACTCTTAGAAGAAAACAAGAGTAAATTTTCATAACCTTGAATTGGACAAAGGATTCTTAAATATGACACTTATGAAAGCATGAGCAACAACAACAAAAAATAGATAAATTGGACTCCATCAAAATTAAAAACTTTTTGGCTTTTGATGTGAAGAGATAGGAGCACTCATACACTGCTGGTGGGACTTCAAACTAGTTCAACCTCTGTGGAAAGTAATATGAAGATACCTCAAAGAGCTACAAGTAGAATTACCATTTGATCCAGCAATCCCATTACTGGGCAAAAAGAACAAAAAGCATTCTATAAAAAAGACATCTGCACTCGAATGTTTATAGCGGCACAATTCACAATTGCGAAGATGTGGAAACAACCCAAGTGCCCATCAATTCATGAGTGGATTAATAAAATGTGGTATATGTATACCATGGAGTACTACTCAGCCACAAAAAATAATGGTGATCTAGCACCTCTTGTATTATCCTGGTTAGAGCTGGAGCTCATTCTACTAAGTGAAGTATCACAAGAAAGGAAAAACAAGAACCACATGTACTCACCACCAAATCGGTATTAACTGATCAACACTTATGTGCATGTATAGTAGTAACATTAACCGGGTATCGGGCAGGTGGAAGTGGGGAGGAGGGAATGGTTTATACACACCTAATGGGTGCAGTGTGCACTGTCTGGGGGGTGGACATGCTTGAAGCTCTGACTCGGGTGGGGCAAAGGCAAGATACATAACCTAAACATTTGTAACCCCATAATATACTGAAATTAAAAAATAAAAAGAAAAAAAAAACTTTTTGGCTTTGAATGACTCTATCAAGAATGTGAATCCGACTTCTACATGTCAAGAAATAAAAAGAATGTGAAGATAATCAGCAGAATGGGAGAAAATATTTACATACATTTACATACATTCATAAAGAACCCTTGAAGTTCAAAAATATAACTACAATTTTTAAATGGGCAAAAGACATACATAGACCTAGCTCCAGAAGATTAATACAAATGTCTAATAAGTACATGGAAAAATGCTCAATATCATTGATCATCAGGGAAATGCTAATCAAAACCACAATGAGATACCATTTCATATCCACTAGAATGAATACAAAAAGTCAATATTAGGAAGTGTTGGTGAGAAGGTATGGAAATTGGAACCTTCATGCATTGCTGGTGGGAATATAAAGTGGTCCAGCCACTTTGGAAAGCTATCTGACAGTTTCTCTAATGATTAAACATAGAGTTACAATATGACCCAGCAATTCCATTCCTGGGTATATTACTCAAGAGAAATGATAACATCCACATACATTTTTACATGAATTTTTATAACAGCATATTATTTTTATTATGAGTCCAAAGGTGGAAACAACCCAAGTGTACATCAATGGATAGATGAATAAACAAAAGATCTTATAGCCATACGATGGAATAGTATTTGGCCATAAAAAAGAATGGAGTGCTGATACATGCTACAAACATATGTGAACCTTGAAAACATCATGCTAGGCCGGGCGCAGTGGCTCACATCTGTAATCTTAGCACTCTGGGAGGCTGAGGTGGGCAGCTTGCCGATCAGTAAGGAGTTCGAAACCAGCCTGGAGCAAGAGCAAGACCCATCTCTACTAAAAATAGAAATTAATTGGCCAACTAATATACATAGAAAAAATTAGCCGGGCATGGTGGCGCATGCCTGTAGTCCCAGCTACTCGGGAGCTGAAGCAGGAGGATGCTTGAGCCCAGAGTGGAGGTTGGCTGTGAGCTAGGCTGGCACCACGCACTCTAGCCCAGGCAACAGCTCTCAAAAAAAAAAAAAAAAAAGAAAAGAAAAGAAAACATCATGCTACGTGAAAGAGCCAGTCATGGAAAGAACACATATGATCCACTCATATGAAAAATTATAGAATAGGGAAATCTATCAAGACAGAAAGTAGCTCAGTGGTTGTTTAGTGTTGGGATGGACAGAAGGTGATGGATTTGGACAGCCAAAGGATATAGGTTATTCTCGTGGGTTGAATTGTGTTCCCCAAAAAAGACATGCTATGCTGAAGTCTAACCCCCACTACCCCAAAACGTGGCCTTGTTGGGGAAATAGGGTCTTTATAGAGGTAATCAAGTTAAATTGAGTTCATTAGGATGGCTAACCCAATGTGACTGGTGTCCTTATTTGTGATACAGACACCACACAGAGGGAAGAAGGTGTGAAAGACAGCCATGTGCCTAGAGTGATGCGGTCTACAAGCAAGGCCCTGGAGCTGGAGGAGGCGAGGAAGGAATCTCAGAGCAGGGCACTGCGCAAGCCCCATCCATTCCAACCTGCAGCCTCCCAAACTCTGAGGCAATTTCTGTTGTCTGAAGGCCGCCTAGGCTTTGGCACTTTATTATGCAACCCTAGGAAACTAGTACAGGCGAGGATAGCTAAAGGATTAAAGAGTTCCTTCTTGATGACTTGGAAATTCACGCTAAGGAAAAAAATAAAAATAAAAAAGAGTTTCTTCTTGAGGTTGATGAAAGGTTCCAGAAATGACTGTGTGTTGATAGTTGCACATGTTTAGATTATGTACATAAAACCATTGAATTGTCACTTTCAGTGACTCAATTTTGTGGTATGTGGAATTATACTTCAATAAAGCTTTTTTTTTTTTTTTTTTTTTTTTTTTTTTTTTTTTTGCGGACAGAGTCCTTGCTCTATTGCCTGGCCTAGAGGTGCAGTTGGGTGTCATCATAGCTCACAGCAACCTCAAACTCCTGGGCTCAGGCGATCCTCGTGCCTCAACCTCCCAAGTTAGCTAGACTACAGGCATGTGCCACAATGCCCAGCTAATTTTTTCTATTTTTAGTAGAGATGGAGTCAGGCTCTTGCTCGGACTGGTCTCCAATTCCTGACCTCAAGCAAACCTCCCACCTCGGCCTCCCAGAATGCTAAGTTATAGGGCGGCTAGACACTGCGCCAGGCATAAAGCTAAGTTTTATTTTTTTAATTTTTTATTTATTATTTATTATAGCATATTGATGGGGTACAAGTGTTAAGGTTACATATATTGCCCATGCCCCCGTCTCCCATCGAGGTAAGAGCTTCAAGTGTGTCCATCCCCCAAACGTTGCCATCTTACTCTTTTTGGTTGTTAATACCCATCCGCTCCTCCCCCCCCCACCCTCCCGCACACCCGATAAATGTTACTCCTATATGTCAAAGCTAATTTTTAAATGAATAAGAAATATGACAACTATTTTAGAATATCGTAGAGAAGTAATTAATAGTGGGCATGGGTAATACAGTATATAAAATTAATAGGCTTGGAGTAGGCAATTTGATATACTCCAAGCAATCATGAGTAAGGAAACCTTCAGAATGGAAATATAAAGAGTCCCCCAGATTCCAGAAATGTTACAATAAATAAAAAATAACAACAAACCCGCCTCTAGACCCAGCCGTGAACATACAGCACACCAAGACAAGGATAAAGGCAACAAAAGGACCATAAAAAACAAAGGAATGGCAGACTAAGTCAAACTTCTCAAAGCCTGCAGATAATGAATACCATCTTAAGTCACTGAGAGATGGTTGTGTGTGTGTGTTTTTTTTTTTTCTTGAGACAGTCTCTCGCTTTGTTGTCCAGCGCTAGAGTGAGTGCCGTGGCATCAGCCTAGCTCACAGCAACCTCCAACTCCTGGGCTCAAGGCAATCCTCCTGCCTCAGCCTCCCAAGTAGCTGGGACTACAGGCCTGTGCCACGACGCTTTTCCGGCTAATTTTTTCTATATATATTAGTTGGCCAATTAATTTCTTTCTATTTTTGGTAGAGACGGGGTCTCGCTCTTGCTCAGGCTGGTTTCGAACTCCTGACCTCGAGCAATCCTCCCCCCTCGGCCTCTTAGAGTGCTAGGATTACAGGGGTGAGCCACCGTACCCAGCCGAGAGATGGTAACTAAATAAAGAAGTTTATATCTAACTAAACTGTTACTTAAGAGTGAAGGGTCTAAATAAGGCATTTTAAACAAGAGAGGAAAAAAACTACATGTGTAGGCTGATTACAAAAAGGTCCTCAGTTTTCTATGCCCCGTGTAACCTACAGATCTCAGCACGTGAACGAGCCCAGCTAACCCACAGACTCAAATGCAATAATAAATAATTATTGTTTCAATCCCCTAAGTATTGTTGTCATTTTTTAGGTCTCAGTACACAACTGAGGTGCTGACATTTTCAGGAAACAAACCCAGGAGGAAGGAGTCGGATGCAAGAAGCCTTTCAAAGAGACGAAGGTAAATATAAGCAGACGTTAACTACATGAAATAACCGGTGGCTAGGGTCCTTTCTAATGGAGCATTGCAAGAAATATTGGAGGGAGAGGTTAGTGATTGATGTTGGCCATCTTAGTTTTCAAAACCATTTCCTCCTTTTGAAGTGCTGATTCCAGCCTTTGGTCCGTTTTCCTATTGGATTGTTCATCTTTTTCCTGCTGATTTGTCGTTGTTGCTGATTTGCTAAGTTCTGCTATAAATTCGCGCTCAGTTATGTGTTTTGCGACATGTGAGAGGGGCTGGAGGCCTTGGGGGCCTTCAGAGAAGGCTGCGGTTGGCCAGGGTCTTGCAGGTGGGGTGGAAGTTCCCCATGCACAGGTCGCCTGCCTTCCCACGCGGACGGAACAGCTCACGGGTAGCTGGACAGGGCCTTGAGAGGGGAAAGACCTGCTTTCCCTGCTCAGCCTTCCTCACGCAAATTAGCTGTGTTTCCGGCCTTCACATTCCTTTTTTTTTTTTTTTCTTTTTTTTAAGACAGGGTCCCGCTCTGTCGCCCAGGCTGGAGTGCGGTGGTGTGGTCATAGCTCACTGCAGCCTCGAACTCCTGGGCTCAAGCGATCCTCCTGCCTCAGCCTCCCCAGTAGCTGGGACTACAGGCTTGAGCCACCGCGCCCAGCTCCCATTCCTGTTTTTGAAGACCACTTTCCACGGGGGATAAGATGGATGTGTGCGTTTGTCCAGTTTGGGTCATCTCTGAGCAAATATCCCTGGGGAAGGGAGTGGGGCAGATCGGAGGAAACCGTCCTCCACATGAAATGGCTTTTGTTGTCCAGAGTTGCTCCCTTTAAAATTTTGAAGTTATCTGGAAGAAGGATTTAGAACTGCAATCTAATGTGATTATTCGTAATGAATCTGCCTTCAAAAGATACAATTTATTTGTATTTCTCTGGGATTCACTTAGAAGTGGCAGTTCAAAGCTTGAAGCGGGTTTTCCTTTTATTTCTTATCTCTGACAGATGACAGATCTCTCTTGCTAAGCAGGGACTTGGCAATGCCTGGTTCTCAGTCCCAGCTATTTAACAGTAAGGTTAAGGCAAACTGTAATTCTGAGGCAGTGCTTGTTTTGAAACCTTATTTGGCCCCTCGTTGGGGTGGGAAGCACTCTGGCTGCGGGTCACGTGCTTTGGCCTAGAGAGAGGGTGACTCTATTTTGTTCTCTGCCTGACCGGGCCTTGCAGTGGGTGGGGAGGGCCGAAAATAGTCGTTTCTTGGCTGCATCGGGCGGGTGGGAGGGCCTCTGTCCGTTGTCAAGTGAGAAGGAGAAGGAAGGTCCCCTGAGGTTGGCCTCGCCAGTCACCGTGGATGTGTAGTGAGTGCCGTTCATAAAGCCCCGAGGAAAACTTTACAGAGGTTTGGATTTATTCAAGCCGTTTACGTTTCTTAAAGATAAAACTGAGGCCGGGCACAGTGGCTCACGCTTGTGACCCCAGCACTTTGGGAGGCTGAGGCGGGAGGATGGCTTGAGGCCAGGAGTTGGAGGCCGCAGTGGGCTATGATCGTGCACTCCAGCCTGGGCGACAGAGCAAGACCCTATCTCTAAAAAAAAAAAAAACAAAAGAAATCAGGTTAAAGCAAATGTCAAGGTAAATCTTCAAAGAGGAAAAAACCCAAGAAGTCTTAAAAAGATTTGCTCAATATCTTTTATATAAACAAAGACAATAGCATCTTCCTATGGCACTTTAAGAGTTAATATGCTTTAAAGAGTTTTAAAAGCAATGGTCTCAAATAATGGGGTTTTCTTAACAGTGAGCTATGACCCCATGTCGCTGCACTCCAGCCTGGGCGATAGAGTGAGACCCTGTCTCTAAAACAGACAAACAAACAAAAAAGATGAAACTGAAGTGCTCGCTCTTTCAAAGTGTGCGTTTTCCACTTGTTTGCAAGGTGGCATTCCTGGATCCCGGTTCTTTATTATACATGTTGATTTGGTCAACGGCCTTGTGAAAGTCTAATATCTGCTCACTTTCACTCATTCGACCCAAGTTATAAATAAGTACAAGCGAGGCACCAGGCATTGTGCCAGGTATAGGGACAAAATGTGAATAAGATGAATAAGAAATCATTTTCGGAGTCATCGATGGTGCTGGAGGTCAGACCGCAGTGTCGCTAGCCGGGAGGGGTGGCGAGGGGCTCTGGGCTGCTGATCCCGTTTTGCTCCCTGATCCTGGTGCTGCTTACACGCGGCTGTGTTCACTCTGTGAAAATTCACTGAGCTGATCGCTTGCGATTTATGCATTTTTTTGTAAGAATGTTACACTTTGATAAAATTTACATTCGAAAATTACCATCCACATTTATTTATTTAGAGACAGGGTCTCGCTCTGTTGCCCACGCCGGAGTACAGTGGCCATTCGCAGGCACAAAGTGGCAACCCTACAGCCTTGAACTCCTCGGCCGAGGCCATCCTCTCACCTCAGCCTCCCGAGTAGCTGAGGCTACAGGCACACGCCACTGCACCTGGCCTATGAACACTTATTTTTAATATTTTAAAAATATTATTACATTGGAATCTCTAGTAGTACGGTGAAAGGTTCTTTTAGGGTTGAAACGCATTGGAACTAAGTTCTGGTAACGTTTTTCTAATGTTCTTTCTATTTTTCCCAGGAATCCTGGCACCACTTTACCCCCAAACAGCCCTTTAGAAACATAACCTCAGAATATTCAAGAAATAAAATACTTTGTTTTTATCCTTTTAAAAGCGAGGAAAAAACATGTTAAGAGTGTAACAGAAAACTAAGGCACATTCCTCCTGAACCCTCAACACTCTCTAAATACGAAACTCTTATCTCACCTTGTATTTTCCATTAGTCAAAAGATATTAGTGACTTTAAGTAAAAAAATGTTCTAAGATGTCAGTGTGGCTTGGATTGTGGGCTGCTGTGCACTTCTTAACTGTGCTAGGACCAGCCTCGATCATTTACAGAGGATACAGCAAGATGCTTGTGTGTTTTTCTTAGCTCCTGAAGATGACTTTAAGAGTATGTGTAATGAAATGTCTTTGATTAACTTTTAGGCAATCAACTGTGCAAAGATAGAGCCAAGGAAAGCTCATGCAAATATCCAGCTTCATCAGCAGCCAACTAAACAACCAAGTCTCTAGTGCTAAATCAACTTTTTAAAAATATAAGCTTTATAAAATTACCAAAATGCATGAGGCAGTAACCGAACAGGAGAAGAACTTGCTCTGAGTGGAGGGATTATAACTGATAGCGATCCAGCTCTTTCTCGTTTTTTCTTACTTTACTATTTGCATTTGCATTGATATTTACTAATGTTTTAGCCTTTATAAAGATGGGTTAAACAAACAGTTTGGCTTTCGGTTCATTTTAGGTCTCTGAGAACGGCAAAATAATTTATTATGCAAACCTAGGCACATTTGAAGATGAAAAGAGACATTAAAAATAATTAACAGTGTTAGGTGACCCGAGTAACCTGAGGCTGGCTGGGCAAGTCAGGACTTCTGGTCAGCCCTCTTATCTCCAGAAAAAAACAAACCAGAGTTTGGTGGAGTTTTTGTTTGTTTTGTTTTGTTTGTTCATCTCCACCAGTCTTCTCTGTGTCTTTTAACAGTGGCATGTCCTGTCCCCTTTCCTCAAGTCCATTTCTCCTCAGTCCCACTGGCCCCGCTTAGATTAGCGCCTCAGTGTAGCTAATCTCCCAGCAGGCCCTGCGTGTCCTTATTTATTAAAAACATCCAATGTACAAGGTCACATTCATTGCCCCTTCTTCTCTTGCAAATCGCGGCAGACTTAAAGCAAAACCAAACAAAACAGAAAACACCCAGCTCGAACTCACACCACGCCACAGTCTTTCCTAATTAATATTCAACTTCTCTGATTGCCTCAATCAAGCTCTGTTTTCTCATCATCATCTAGGTACACAATTTTGTTTTGTTTTTTGAGACAGGGTTTCATTCTGTTGCTCCAACTGGAGTGCAGTGGCCTGATTATAGCTCACTGTAACCTCGCACTCCTGGGCTCAAGCGATTGTCCTGCCTCAGCCTCCCGAGTAGATGGGGCTACAGGCATGTACCACCATGCCTAACTAATTTTTAAATTTTTTGTAGAGATGAGGTCTCACTATGTTGCTCAGGCTGAAACAGACTGACTAATCAGTTTCCTGTTTTGATATAGCTTCTTGTTCTGGTGTGGTCCAGAGATTACAATTTATCTCATTTTAACCAGTAAAGAACAAGACAGCAAAATCTCGTCGATTGCAAAATCCTGCTCTAGAGAGCAGGCGACTTCCCTGGAGCCCGCGAAGGTGCAGCTAGGCTTAAGCTCCAATGTATAGTAATTTTTTCTTCATCTTAATAGTAAAAATTACACCCAGGGTGGAGATTTAAAATGCTAATACTACATACTATACGTGAAGCGTGTAAAGCTACCACGCAGGTGCTAGGGTTACATGCTTCCACGTAACCCTTCCCTTTAGCAAAGCCACATAGACCCAATTCCCGCACCAGCCTTGAGGAGCAGCCGGACTTTTCCTTTCTCAGTGCTGGCTCCCTTGTGCACAAGCGAGGGAAACTTGTTCTTTGCTGCTAAGTCCAGGGATGTCTCTCTTTTGTCATTGCTATTTAGTTAGTTTAGTCATTGCTATTTAGTCATTGCTATTTAGTTTAGTTATTTCATAATCATAAACTTAACTCTGCAACCCAGCTAGACTTGGAGGGGAATAAGGAAAACATGAAACCCGGAGAACTGCAGTGAGAGCACAGAGATTACAGGAGATGGCGAGCAGGTGGGCTAGCTGGTGCTCTCCTGCGCTACAGAAGGAATGGTCTGGTGGTTAAGACAAAGCATTTAAGTCAAATTTATTGGAGTTGTCCACAGTCAGCAATGGTGATCTTCTTGCTGGTCTTGCCATTCCTGGACCCAAAGCGCTCCATGGCTTCTATAACATTCGTGCCCTCTTTCCCCTTGCCAAAGGCCACATGCTTGCCATCCGACCACTCAGTCTTGGCAGTGCAGAGGAAAACTGGGAACCATTTGTGTTGGTCCAGCATTTGCCATGGACAAGATGCCAGGACCTGTATGTTTCAGGATGAAGTTCTCATCATCGAATTTCTTGCCGTAGGTAGACTTGCCACGAGTGCCATTATGGCGTGTGAAGTCACCACCCTGGCATATAAACCCTGGAATAATTCTGTGAAAGCAGGAACCCTTAGAGCCAAATCCTTCCTCTCCAGTGCTCAGAGCACAGAAGCTTTCTGCTGTCTTTGGAACTTTGAAAACAGCTCCAATCTGTTAACATAGCTTTATGGATTAGATAAGCTGTCACTTCTTGGTTTCCAGGTCTCTTACCTCAAAGGAGATGTGGCCCAAGGGCTTGCCATCAACGGCGATATTGAAGAACATGGTGGGGTTGACCATGGTGAGTAGCCAGCGACTCCGGGAAACAGCAGCGTCTGCAAAGCCTGGTGATGTCTCTTGTCTTCTATCCTGGGAGATTACAGGAACCCAGGGACATTGATAACAAGGCTGGTCTCCAACTCCCAGGCTCAACTGAATCTCCTGCCTCAGCCTCCCAAAGTGTTAGGATTACAGGTGTGTGCCACCACGCCTGGTGGCACACAGGTTTTTGCATGCCGTCATCTCTTTACTGAATGTAACCGTATAGCATTCATAAGTCATTTCATAAGTGTGTCTTGCTTCCCGGTCAATTAAAATGATAAGGAACTAGATCTGATTTCTCTGGCTCCCAGATTGCCTGGTACAGTGTTCGACATGCACAACTTCTTCAATATTCTTAGTGAACAAATCTTTCAATGGCCACAAAATTCCAAGAACTTTTCCTTTTCTCCCCAAATGTAGCTCCCCAAATGTTCCCTGACATTAGTTGAAATACAGTTAATCATGACTATTCGCAGATTCCCTATTTGTGAATTCTCTTACTTGCTAAAATTTATTTGTAACACCAGGAGCAAAACACACAGCACTTTCATGGTCTTGGTGGACCTGTGCAGAGGGATGAAAAATTTGTGTCACCCGATGTGTATGTTCCCAGCTGAGGTCCCACAAGGCAACGTTTTGTCCTCTCGTTTCAGCTCATATTGTAAATGTCCTTTTCATGGTAAATTCAGTGCCACATCTTTTTGCATTTCTGTTGGTGATTTCACTGTTTAAAATGGCTCCAAGCAGAGAGCTGAAGCGCTGTCGAATGTTCCTAAGCTGTCATGTGCCTTATGGAGAAAATATGTGCATTCGTTAAGCTTCATTCAGGCATGAGTTATGGTGGGGTTTGCCATGAGTTCAGTGTTAATCAATCAGCATGATATATTAACACAAAACAAAGTTATGTATTGATTGATTAACAAAAATACTGTGACCAGAGCCCCATAACGACCTAACCCTGGATCTCCTCTGTGAGCAATTGTTCAGCATTTGCTAATTCAGTGTTTGCAGTGACTTTATAGAACATAAATACTGCAAATAAACAGAACTGACTGTACTTAAATACTTAAAACATTGGTTAGAATTGCACAACCTGAAATACTAGAGTTAATTTGCTCAGGAAGAATCCATACTGTGTATAGACCAAGATTGTGCTAAAATTTAGTAATTTATTTAATGATCATCAAACGCATTTTGCCTATTTAGAACATTTTGTTGATTCCAGAACAGTTAATTCTCATTCCATAAATAAATGATTAACTACAACATAGTTTGATGTGGCTCTTACATATGAAGACATTATTGCTTAAGCTATTATAGCTCTCTTGGAAACAAGCAAAAAATTCTAAGAGCCTATTTTTGTCAGTTATTTCTTATGATGAAAAAAATGTGTGCACAACCATACCATAAGTGTGACAGTGATGACTTCTCAAATGTAGTATGTGACATACAATTAGCTGTATGAAGTATTCTTAGGTCTAAGAAACATCTGAAAAAAATTAAGGGATATGAAACTAGTAACTAATTTCATCTTTTTGAGGAAGAAGATCTTTACTGTAGAATTGCCTGATGATCTGAATTTATTTATGCAGAGTTATTAATCCTGTCAGAGAGCTCACTGAATTGTTCTAAAATAAATTCCTGGCTGGGTTCAGTGGCTCACACCTGTAATCCTAGCACTCTGGGAGGCCGAGGCGGGCGGATTGCTTGAGGTCAGAAGTTCAAAACCAGCATGAGCAAGAGCGAGACCCCATCTCTACTATAAATAGAAAGAAATGAATTGGCCAACTAATATATATAGAAAAAATTAGTGGGGCGTGGTGGCACATGCCTGTAGTCCCAGCTACTTGGGAGGCTGAGGCAGGAGGATTGCTTGAGCCCAGGAGTTTGAGGTTGCTGTGAGCGAGGCTGACACCACGGCACTCACTCTAGCCTGGGCAACAAAGTGAGACTCTGTCTCAAAAAATAAAATAAAATAAAATAAATTTCTTTGCATTGTACAGAATAAAATCTCCTAAACCATAAGCTGACCTATGTGCATTCTGTCGGGAGCAGCAGAAAGGAAAGGGGGCTGGAAATCAAGAGCCCAGTGTTTTGTTAGCTATCACATAAGGGTTGCTCTGATTGAGTTATACACATGCATGCTCCCTTCTTGTCTGGAAAGAACTGCAGTGGGTGGTCATCTTCCATGTCAGCTGGCACACAAAAAAATGACAAAGCTCTCGAACCTGACTGCAAATTTGTTATTGTCACTGAAGTGGTGAGTGACAATAACAATTGTGAGTATGCATCCTGCATTCACTGTGTGCCAGACACTACGTTAAGCAGTTTACTCAACTCCCACTACAAGCTACATGAGGGTTTCCAGTTTTCAAAGGAGAAAACTGAGGAAAGAGGGGCTTATTGCTTGATCATTCTGCTAACTAGGCCAGGGTGCTAAATTTTGAACAGTATACTGAGTTCCATTGCATGAACTCCTAAACATTTTTTTTTTATGTGTGATTTCAGGTATGATTGCAGCTTTGCACAGTTTTGAAATTCCCAGGTGATAGCATAAAATGTGTGAAGGTGCACACCCCCTCATCAACACAGGAGCATTTCCTCCTGGCATCTCGCAAGAAAGATGATTGAAATAATGACCGTAGTCCTTAAGAATGTCATCTAATCAGTCAGTTTATAAGATTCATCTTGGGTTCAAAGGATATTGAGATTTTTGACTCTTAAGCTATGAATAGCAAATGGGATATTTGCAAATAAGTAAGTTAAGAAAACTTGAAAAGAGCAAGTGTTCTTTGTTTTGATCTATTTGATCAAAGCCTTTGACATGATGGAAAAGTAGCTGTTATTTATAAATTTTGAAGTCTCGAGACTAATGGGATTCATTCTGAAGGTGCCTCATCCAGTGCAATGCCCGTCTCAAGTGGAGCTAAACCCAATTGTATCCCCTGAACTCTGGCATTCCAAAACACAGGCCAAGCTAGATGGTACAGCCAGTTAATTTTTCTCAGAGATATTTCTGTCTCTCATTTCTTATCAAACTGCAGTTTTTTTTTTTAAAAGAATGAAGGCTATCTTATCATTGATTTATGAATGTATAAGACATTTTCTTGGGTAATATGTTAGAAATGCTTTGCAATAAAAATGTATTCAAGATATCTAGTCTTAAAGGACTCTCTTTTTCCATAATTAGATAAACAGAGCAAGGAAGCCATAGAGACATCTACAAATAGGCCTTGAAATCCAGGGGACATTTTTTGGAGTTGCAGGAAACAGAAATGAGGGAGCTGAAGTGTGGGAAGCCCTGGCCGGTCTCATGATCCTTGACCACATCCTAGATGCAAATCGGTTCATCTTCATCGAATGTCCCATGCCCAGATGGCTGCAGTGGGGCTGGGGGACATGTGCCCGCCTGCTGCCACAGGAACGGGGACCCACCCTCCTTTCCACCAGGCAGCCGGGGCTACTGGGGGGCTGGGAGGCTCACTGCTGCCAAGGGAAGTGTCCCCTGCTGAACATTTTGTCATGGCCCACAAGAGAAGGAGGGGACGGATTCTATGAAGTAGTTCTTCCTTGAATTTTTGCTTTAGGTAACTTGGTCACACAATCAAGGGTATAAGTTACTATGGGATGCTTTTTTTAAAAAAACAGAAGAAATCCCATGAGACTGTTGTAGAAAACTGACCGTTTTCAAGTGCTCACTGAGTGTAGTTGGCAATGTACAAAGACCCACACCTGCAGCATTCTGCCAAGTCATGTGCCCATTATTGCTTATGGCTGGAACCAGATGACCTGCCCAGTTAATCTGTTCTTAATGTGCTTAAGCTGTCCTCAGGAAGCTTCCTTCTGCCTTGTTTCTCATGGAAGGTTCTCTAGTTCCTGAGTTTGTCGTGTTCTTTCCTCTGGCTGGAGAATAGAAAGGGAAGACGGTCTCTTGGAATCTTAGCCTCAACTCAAGAAGTAACCTTCTGAAAGTCAAGAGTTCTTCTATCCTCCCAGAGCAGCCAGTATACACCGGTCCGGGTCTAGAGAAAGCCACGCAATAAACACCGGTTCACTTACTTGTCCACCAGGAACTTTAATACCCTTCATTGCATGTGAATGCCCGGAAGCTCTGCAAACACAGGACCCAGGTCAGTTTGGCCTCACTCAGGATTTTTGCACAATGCCTAGCTTGTAACAGATGCTCAGAATAAAATTTATTTACCAATATATGTCATTGATAGCTGATTAAATGCTGCATTTGTGGTCTTCACTATGAAAAGTTGGTCCTCAAACTCTTGGACAACTTCCTGGTATAACCTTGATTCAACAGGAAAAAAAAACAGGTTTGACTTGATCAGTTCAATTCACTGTCAAGTTTGAGAATGACCCGATCAAAGAGGAGTTACAGTTGTCAGTTGCTAGTTGTGCACATACATAAGCAGTGTGTTTCCCTCACTTTTTTTTCCTTCTCTCACTCTCCGTCATTTCTGTGCTGTTTCTTCCCTGACTCTCCATGAACAAAATGGTGTTAGAACCAGGATAGGGAAGTCACACAGAAGTACATGGATTGGGTACGAATCGTGGCCTTCCATCCCTCTCTTCTAGTTCTCCCCCACCCCCACCCCCACCCACCCAGAGTGGCTTTTGTGGAGGCTGGGATGACTTGGATCCATTATTTTTGCAAGATCTTCCATTTAGAGAGTTCGGAGACAGATGATGTCCTTACATGGTGTAATTTTCTGCTTGGCTCTTGTCAAGTTTCTACTTGGGGACTTTTCTTGCTTCCATTGCAAATCCAGAGGCCCAACACCGCCATCAAAGCATATTAGAAACAAAACGAACCGATGGCTTCATTTCACAGCGTAGGAACACGGCAAAGCTTTATTAGCCAGGTTAACAGCTGATGGCCCGTAGCTCACCGAGCCTCAGTTTACCTGCGCAGCCCGGAGACAGCCTCACGGCGGCGCGCTCGGCAGATGCAGCAGATCACCTCGAACACATAGTTCTCCTAACGCCCCCTGAGAGTTTGACATTCTTCCTCGGGGTCCTTCATCCCCCAAAGAAATTGGTAGAGATCAGTGTAACTCAGAGTAGGCCGAGAACACGCAAGGACGTGAAAGGCAAGACAGCCGAGCAGCGGCGCCGCCGGGCGAGGCTGGTGCGGAGCAGACGCGGTGGGCGCGGAGGGCGGTGGAGGGGCGGCGGGAGCGGCGCTGCGTGGCTGGGACGGAGCGGGCGCCGCGCCGCAGAGGGTGCTGCCAGGCGGCGGGGCCGTGGCTGCTGCCCGCGCGTCCACCCGGGAACCGAGGCTCGCATGCGCCGGAGCCGGTGGAGACGAGCACAGGGGTTCGTTCCCCGGCTCTCCCGAGTCCACGGAGGCGCGGGGACGCGCCGCGCCCTGCCCGAGGGGGGATCGAGTCGAGCCCCCACTGCCCCCCCCACTGACCGGGATGCCCCGCATTCACCCGGGGCGGCACCCGGGCGCGACGCGAGCACCGCCAGCCTGGCCGACGGCGGCCGCTCCCGGGGGGCCGGGGCGCGCCCGTCGGAAGGTGGGAGGCGGAGTCGCTCGGCTCCGGGAAGAGACCAAAGGAATGAGTAATTGGAAATTCTGCAACACAGACCCTCATCCCAAACCCTTCGGCGCGGTCACCCCCAGACCCCCTGGCGAGAGGCTGGGCACTGGAGACGGGGAGACGTGGTGGAGGGAGAGTCACGTTTCGCAGGGGAAGTGAAATAAAGAGGGCGGCACCCGGGGGGACCTGTGCGTCATTGAGGGACCGAGGAGAAGTGCAGGGCGCACGGGGCTGCAAAAGGAGAAGTTGGAGCGACGAGCCGGAGGGGGCGGCCGCGAAACGCCCGAGCCTCCCCTGCCTCCCGGGCGGCGCCCCGGCCGCCTGCAGCCTCGTGGCCCGCGCCCGGACCGCCGCGCCCGGACTCCGCAGGCGGGACGCGACCGCCGCGCGCAGAATGTGGCAGCCGACGCGGGCCCGGCCCCGCGCGCCCTGGCGCTGGGCGCTGGCGCTGCTGGCGCTGGGCGGCGCGGGGCTGTGCCACGCCGGCCCGAAGCACGGGTACCCCGCGCGGCCGGGCGCCAGGAACAAGTAAGTGCGCGCCGCTTTGCCCGCCCCAGACCCCAGCGCCCTGGCCCCCGCCTACCCTCCCGACCCGCCGCTGGGCCCCGGAGCTGCCCGGCCAACGGCCACGAGCGGCAGCCCGGGGTCCCCTTTGGACTCCCCGGGCGACTCCTCCTCCGGGTGGCCGAGCGCTGCACGGCCCGCGCCTGGGGCAAGTTGACTCCGGGGGCGGGGGCAGGAGTGTCCCGCAGAGCAGGGCGGAAACTACTCCCAGGAATTCCAGGAGTCCCTGGCACCGTGGGTGGTTTTTTTTTCTTCCTGTCTTTTGTCGGGTAAAGGTGCACGCTCTCCAAAGGCGCTCCGCGCACCCTCCGGGCTCTGCTCCGCTCTGCCAAGCCTCCGCAGGGCGTGACGGGCACCCTGCCCCTCGCTCGTCCCGCGCTGCTGTGTCAGCTTGTCCCCACTGTGCCCTCCCTCATTGTTCGGGTTTCACTGTGCCCCTTTCCCTCTCTCCCCTTCACCCAGGAACTGGTGCGCCTACATCGTGAACAAGAACGTGAGCTGCTCCGTGCTGGAGGGAAGCGAGAGCTTTATTCAGGCGCAGTACAACTGTCCCTGGAGCCAGATGCCCTGTCCCGCCGCGCTCGTGTAAGTCGCCGAGCCGGGCGGCGGGGCGGGGAGGGGTTGGAGCGCTGGGCTCCGGCCCTCCTATAAATCTCGTCCAGATCTGCTGAAAACCCAGCAGCTGGGAAGTTTGAGCGCTGAGCGGGGTTCCAGCCACGCTGGGGCATTTAAGAGCGTGTGCGGCCCCAGAGAGCGGGGAGGGTGCGCACGGGGGAGTTTGGGATCGCGGGGCGTGGGGAGGGCGAACAAAGCCCCCACCCCCGCTCCTCTCTCTCTCTCTCTTTTTTTCTTTCAATTTTGTTACTAACATAAGGCAGCTGAACCTAATTAGATCCATATTGTGTGTTCTGGGGCACACAGAAGATTCCAACATGTATACTGTTAAAAAACTTTGAAATGTAGGAGTAGCTGAGAGGCTTGGCTAGCTAGTGTTCTAAAGCAAGCGAGTTTTGTCCCTATGTCCCCATGAAACGGACCTCCTCCAGTGTTGTAGATCTCTAAACGAAAAGTCTAGGGAACAGTTTGATTAAAAGTGTGTGTGTGTGTGTGTTTCCCCAGTTAGATTTGGGGATTCGCTAAGGTGTTGTCCGGAAATGTCCTTAAAGACATTTCGGAAGGAGAAGAATTAATCATCTTTTGACTTGTAAAGATTTCAACATCTTAAAAAAAAAAAAAAAAAAAAAAAAGCAGAAGCGATGCAATGGAGTACAAATGCCATTAAATATATCACACTCACTCAGTTGTCACCAGGCCAGTCTTTGAGTTTTTGTGTAAGTCAGATACCAGAAGATGGGCGGATGTGAATAAATGGCTGTTGGGAGCGCATGTGATGGTTGAAATGAATTGTTTTCCACTAAGAATAAGTTGTTTGTCTTAGAGCACAGTTGTCATTACAGCAAAGAATAGTCAGCGGGCAGATCTGTCTTTGGCAAAACCAAGGGACATACTGAAATTCATTCTCCAGGAAAGCCTTATTCCAGGGGTCGCTAGGGGAGCCTTCAGCCCCCCGGGGTAGAAGTGGTCCCAGGATCCATCCCACGTGGGCTGCTGGGGCAGCTGCAAACCGGGCTGGGTCATTCCTGCCAGGCAAAACCAAAGCAAAACAAACAAAAACTCAGAGAGAGCCCGATCTCTAACACACAGAAGAGAAGGCTGAAATCGAATGCATGGCTGTCACTCTGAGTTGGATGAACTGTCAGAGAGACGCAGTACTGTCATCCCACCTTAATCTGTGGTGTGTGAGACCCCACAGTCTCCAGCCAGCAGTCAGTCACCCCAGAACCGGATGGAAATTTTACATGGTGGTAGAGACATGAACTATGAGTATTCAGCACAGTTTGAGTGGATTTGTTTAAAATTGGAATTGAATTATTAGTCAGGAATATTTCATTCGTTTTATACAAGAACTACATTTTGTGGTTTGCTAGAATGTTAATATTTGCTGTGACAACTCAGAGATAATTGAATTTTTCATTTTGGGAGGTAATGCTTTTCATTTAAAAGATGGTTTGTTTTTATTTTGTCAAATTATTTTAGCTGCTTGGAAAACAAAACAATGATTCAGTTGTTGTACTTGAGCAAAATTCAGTGAAATTTGGTTGTCAGTTGGGAGTGGATCACTTTCAGATCAGCAGGTTCCTGAAAGGCAGTTGGAATGTATTTTTGCCACCCAGTGAGGAGGACAACATAATTGCTATTAAAAAATGACAGATATTTCTGTTTTATTTATTTATTTATTTTGAGACAGAGTCTCACTTTGTTGCCCAGGCTAGAGTGAGTGCTGTGGCGTCAGCCTAGCTCACAGCAACCTCAGACTCCTGGGCTCAAGCAATCCTCCTGCCTCAGCCTCCTGAGTAGCTGGGACGACAGGCATGCGCCACCATGCCCGGCTAGTTTTTTCTATATATATTAGTTGGCCAATTAATTTCTTTCTATTTATAGTAGAGATGGGGTCTCGCTCTTGCTCATGCTGGTTTCGAACGCCTGACTTGGAGGAATCCGCCCACCTCGGCCTCCCAGGGTGCTAGGATTACAGGCGTGAGCCACCACGCCCGGCCTCTGTTGTTTTATTAAAACCAAAATAAGTGACCTGGGTATTTTTCTTCAATAATAACCATGTAAACAAGTCAAGTGTATTTTTTATTTTTATTTTTATTTTTTTATCTGGGACAGGGTCTTACTCTGTTGCCAGGGTTGAAGTGCAGTAGTGTCATCACAGCTCACTGCAGCCTCAAACACCTGGGCTCACGTGATCCTACTGCTCAGCCTCCCAAGCAGCTGGGACTGCAGGCAGGCACCACCACACCTAGCTAAGTCTTCTATTTTTTGTAGAGATGGGGTCTCACTGTTGCTCTGGCTGGTTTCCAACCCCTGAGCTCAAATGATCTTCCACCTCGGCCTCCCAGAGCCCTAGGATTACAGGCATGAGCCACCACACCTGGCCACATTTTTAAATTTTATCTATCTATCTATCTATCTATCTATCTATCTATCTATCTATCTATCTATCTATCTATCATTTATGGGGGGAGACAGAGTCTTACTCTGTTGCCCGGGCTAGTGTGCAGTTGGCATCATTGTAGCTCTCTCCAATCTCAAACTCCTGGGTTGAAGCTATCCTCCTCCCTCAGCCTCCTGAGTAGCTGGGACTACAGGTGTGTGCCACCATATCTGGCTCATTTTTATTTTTGTAGAGATGCAGTCTGGCTGTGTTGCCCAGGCTGGTCTCAAACCCCTGGGCTCAAGTGATCCTCCTGTGTTGGCCTTCCAAAGGATTACGGGCATGCACCCCAGCCTGGGTTTTACATGTTAAATGCTGCATTATGAATGTGAAATTTAAAAAACACAGACTTTTATCTGATCAACCTGAAAATTTTCAAATTACCTTCAGCAGTGAATTCAGTCTGGACCTTTTTCAGTTTCTTTAGGGATAGGAAAGGAATGGTTTACCCTATTTTTCAACTACAAAATGTTTCCTAAATTTTGAAGATTAGTGGTGAATGAAGACAAAGGGAGAAACCTTCTTTTTCTACCCAAAGTGGAGGTGTGGGAGTTTCACATGGAATTTCTCAGTTGTTCTGATGAATCCAGGAACCTGAGTCAATTCACAGGTATTATCAGGTCAGCCTGTTTTGTGATCTGTTCCTTAGAACCTGGGACCCGTAGAAGTGAAGGCTCTTTGGACACTCCCCCGGGAGTGGCTGAGGGGTGACATCTGGGCAGTGTTAGAAGTAGGTGCTGGAGGTTGGCTGAGATGCTGGAGCTAGAAGCACATTCCCACAGCCGCGTGGCAGGTCTGAGCCACTGAGGCCTTGTCACCCTTGAGCAGAGCTGAGTTCTCGGAGGTGGAGGGGAAGGAGGAGGAAGAGCCAGAGAGGGAGAGAGCAAAGCAGAGGTGGTGGCGGAGACACCCCGTCTGAGAGACCCCGGAGAAACCCTGGAGGCCGCAGCTCCAGAAAGGGGTTCAGCCTGCAGGAAGCAGTGGCTAATGTAGAAAGAGAACGCTCAGGTCAGTAGAGTGCGGACACTGTAGTTTGTGTGACATAACCCAGTCACCCAGGAAACGATAGGGTGTTTCAAAGGCTTTGGTAGGAAACGGGAGTTAGAGAGCAGCTGAGCAGGAAAAGAGAGAGAGGAAACTGCCTGTTTCAGGACAGAAGTGAAGAAGCCACAGGGAGAGACCGAGTGTGCCCTGGGACTGGGAGGACATCCGCCAGAAGTGGGGGTTTGATGCAGGTGCTCGTAGGAACAAGGGGAGGAAGAGTTTTACACTGGCCCGTCCCTGGGCCCCGACAGCCCCCTGGGCTGCGGTGAGTCCTCACGCGCGTCATCACAAGGGGCAGACGGTGCCCCGCTTGCGTGTAGGAAGAGCCAGATTCCAGGCTGCAAATTTGGATATTGTTACGTGAAACCAGGAGCAGAGGGGGTTTTGTGTGACACGTGGGCATTTCAAGTAATCACTCTTCTGACACTATAAAGTACCTTCTTTTTTTTTTTTTTTTTTTTTGAGACAGAGTCTCGCTTTGTTGCCCAGGCTAGAGTGAGTGCCCTGGCGTCAGCCTAGCTCACAGCAACCTCAAACTCCTGGGCTCAAGCAATCCTGCTGCCTCAGCCTCCCGAGTAGCTGGGACTACAGGCATGCGCCACCACGCCCGGCTAATTTTATATATATATATTAGTTGGCCAATTAATTTCTTTCTATTTATAGTAGAGACGGGGTCTTGCTCTTGCTCAGGCTGGTTTCGAACTCCTGACCTCAAGCAATCCGCCCGCCTCGGCCTCCCAGAGTGCTAGGATTACAGGCTTGAGCCACCGCGCCCGGCCTATAAAGTACCTTCTATGTGCCAGGTCACATGCAGGGCTTTTGATTCCATATATTATTGGTTTATTTAGTTCCTGCAACAACCCTTCAAGTTGAATAGCACTGTCTCCATTTCACCAATGGGGACTGCGACGGGCCACTCCCTCGCCTGCCCGTGGTCACGCGACAGTGAGTGACTGAGCGGCCTGCAAGTCCGGGCTGTCGGCCTTCGTGGACTGCCCTCTGTGCCTGAGCAGCGGGGAATGCACTCGTTTGTTTGTTTCCGTGATTGCACAGTACTCAACTATTAAGAACATTCACATCCTCTTTCATGGAAGGCAGTAGCCACACACAAGTGTTGAGAAAGGTTTGTGCGTGTGCGCGTGCGCGTGCCCAACCTCTCTCCGTGTGGGTCACTTTGCTGCAGTGCAGTGGCCTTTATCATTTCCCACCCTGTCAACCATGCTATAAAGCACGCGTCCTCACACCACGGCCCGTGGGCCACATGCGGGAGTTTCTGCCCGTTTGTTTTTTTACTTCAAAATAAGATATGTGCAGTGTGCATAGGAATTTGTTCATAGTTTTTTTTTTTAAACTATAGTATGGCCCTCCAACAGTCTGAGGGACAGTGAACTGGCCCCCTGTTTAAAAAGTTTGAGGACCCCTGCTATGGAGTTTGTTTGCTTATTTTCATGAAACACTGGCAGGTGTGACTGATTGGGTT